AAGACTCCAAGCCCTGTGGTAGATCTGCCCTGTCCCCCTACAGCAGCAGGGGCTGGGCAGGGTGATGGGCCTCTGACGCCTCCCACTGCATTTATGCTGCCATGGTCTGACCCTGGAAGGCTCCTCCATGCTGCTGGGCCGAGCCCTCCCCAACTGGCCCTGTGGGAAGGGGCAGCCTCTGCTGGGGACACTGTGTTCTTCCTTCTCCTGTCTGTGCTTCTGGGGCTGCATGGGGCCTGGCCCAGCCCTGAGGCAGGGTTGAGCATGCAGCTGGCTTGGCCCAAGGAGGCGCCGCAGCAGCCAGAGCAGGTGGCATCGGGTCTGAGATGTCGCTGCTGTCCCCTCTTGCAGTGAGTGTGGCCCCAGGGCATTCCTGAGAGGCGTTGGCACAGCCATTTCAGTCTGGGGTGCTGCTGTTGCAGCCCTAATGCTACCCCACAGAATCCTTGCTGCTGGGCACACAGTGAAGACATAAGGGGCTGGGGCTGGACCGTTCCTCCTGGAGGTCGCTAATCTAGGTATGTATTATTTGTTAACCATTTAACCAATATAATTAGAGGAGGTTAAACGGATAATTTTTAAATCATACTTACATCCCTAATGTCTGTTAAATAGATGAGCAGCCTATTTTAAAAAATATCTTTGTTTACAAACCAATACTGTGCAGGCTGGATACCTTCAAGTCAGCTGGCCCTGATGGGTAACACCCAAGGGTACTCAGGGAGCTGGCGAGCATCGTAGCTTAGCCCCTGGCACAGATCTTTGAGAGCTTTTGGCGCTCTGGTGAAGTGCCCAACGATTGGAAGAAGGCCAGTGTGGTGCCTATCTTGAATAAAGGGAGGAAAGTAGATCCGGCAAACTACAGGCCCATCAGCCTGACCTCTATCCTGGGGAAAGTCTTGGAAAAGGTTATCAAGGAGGCCATCCTTAACAGACTAGCTGCAGGGAATATCCTGAGGGATACCCAGCATGGGTTTGTTGTGGGTAGGTCTTGCTTGACCAATCTCATTTCCTTTTATGACCAGGTGACTTATCACCTGGACAAGGGGAAGAGATCGATGTTGTATACCTCAACTTTAAAAAAGCCTTCGATCTGGTATCCCACGATCACCTCTTGGCTAAACTGGCTAACTGCAGCCTTGACGTTACCATGATCCGCTGGCTGGGGAACTGGCTCCGTGGTAGGACCCAGGGGGTGGTGGTTTACGGGAGCCAATCGTCTTGGTGCGCTGTGATCACTGGGGTCCCACAAGGCTCTGTCCTAGGGCCTATACTG